ATGTCCCTTTCGCCGCCACAGCTTGAGAAACGCAAGGCAAATGGAAAAAGCTTTCTGGATATTGAGAAGCCCAAACCTGAAAATAGTTGGCATGCGTTTCCAACCTCCACAGGCAGCTGCTTGCTGTCAGGCCAGCGTGTCCCACAACAGGGACAGTGTCACTCTTCCTTCAGGCCTTCCTTGCTGCCTGCATGTTGGTGATTATGAAGCAGGCTATTCCTGAAGAAAAGGCACTGTTTTCTGAAGGAAGAGTCACAGAATGGCTGTTGGAGAATTAAGACCGTTTTTTCGGGGGGTTGAGGGGGCAGATGCTGTTTGTTTCAGGAAATACTGTAACCTCTGTCCAGTCTTATAAAAGAGAAAGAAAAATGGGACTTACCCACAGCACACTGACAGATACATCTGTCTTGACAAGCTAGTTCACAAATATCTACTCATCCATAACTTGAGGCTGTTGGAAGCATCTTTGTTATTTCACCTCTTTAACGAGAAATGGCAACGCTTGTTTTCCAGAAAGACACTGAAATGACCACAAGTCTTTGCAAACCTCCGTGGAAGCAGTATCCCAAAGAGGAGAGAGCATTTATTAATGCATTTTAAGAGCACTAAACTTTTCTTATTGTTGCCAAAACATAAATGGGACTTTTTCTGGGAACTATAACTCCGATTTTAAGCTTTGGATTCATTTCAGTATTATAAACTCACCGCTTCTTAGACCAAATTCATTAGGGACCATTCGCTCTAGACCATGTATAGCAGTAACTGTCCTGCTTTCCATTTTTAGTTTTATTCTTATCCAGTCATTTATGCCCCCTTTGTCCAGTGACTTAATCTCATTATCACTTTTGCTTTGACATCTTAAATGACAAGACTCATTGACATTGTATGTCTTTATCATAACCCTTAGAATGAAGTTGCTGGCTGAGAAAAGCCAAAAAAAAAAAAAAAGTGAATGACTTATTCTGATTCTACTGTAGAAGGAGAATTAAAAATTACCACAGACCGAGGACATTTGTTTGAGGAAGATGGATGGTTTGGTAAAGGCACTGCCTCATTAGAGGTCTGTCAGGCCCTTCTGTGTGGAAATGCTTAACATACAAGCTCCTAGCTTGGCACTGGGGGCTTTGGAAGTTTAAGGAGAGAACAGAGGTGGGAATGTGTCAGGGTGACTGCCCTGTACCCCAACACAGCCAGGCAGAACCAAAGTTGAATTACGTCTGTGACCTCAGGCTCTGAAGCCGCAGGCTGTCACCCTTAGAAATGTCTGTTGATTTGAATGGTAATTGAGTTGTTTATTTGTATCTCCTCATCAGAATGAGCCTTAGGTGAAGTGTGTGAAAGGAAGTCACTGGTCAGATCTATGAACTAAATCCTGAAGAGTCACCCCCTAAATCTCATGCTTTTCCCCTCCACAGAATGAGGCAACTGGTACTCGTTTGCCTGAGAGAGAGAGAGAGAGAGAGAGAGAGAGAGAGAGAGAGAGAGAGAGAGATTTCAGAATTCCACTGTCAGAACATATCACCATTAATAATGAAACTATGCATCTAGAGTCATGTCTAACTTCGTTAATTCTTTGGCACTACTGCTCAGATTCTAGAAGGGGAGGTCTTCAGCCATGCTGACCCCCAGTCATTATACATTTGGGATCAGAAGTTTACCCTTTCTCAGTAACAGTTGCTGAGAATTCTCTAAGTAGAGTAAAAAACTCATTGTCACGTAGTGTTGGGAAGAAATGATAGTAACCCACTTATGGAATTGCTATAATCACAAGAGAGATGTTTGTGCAGAGGGGGTGAAGCAGGAATTTAATTTGACACGGCGTTTCGTGAGCATTTTTGATGACATTTAATTCTGTTTAAGATATCGTTGCGGCAGGAACGGCTCTAATATAGACTCTCTCTTATAGACACTTTCACACTATGCAAAACCACTCCTTACTCAGAACAAATAACCCTTGTGATGGGATCATTTTTTCTTGATCCACCTGGTTGGACTGTTGTGAGGTCAAATGAGAGTTAGTAAAAGGCCTTTCTAATGTGTAAATCACAAGGGCCTACACCAGGGGTTCTCGAATTTTACCAGGCAGATGAATCACCTGTAGTGCTTATTATAAATGCAGATTCCCAAGCCTTTGTCCCTCCCTCCTTCCAGATTATTCAGTTGTTTTATGGTGGGCTCGAGAGACCAGCATCTTGACGAGAAGGCTAGGTGATGCTCAGGCAGGTAGTTCAGAAACACACTCTGGAAACACCATGTATTTTTGTGCTTGTTACCTTATGTCTAGCTGTGTCATCACATGCTAAAAGGAAGCCCAACACTTGTCGTTAACTTCGTCTTTCAGTTATTTTGTGATTATCCATGCAGCATTGTAATTCCGGGACTGTTTCTATCACATAACTATGGTTATGTGAACCATAGTCCCCCATTATGAATTAGTGAGTGCCCCAAAACTTCTAGAAAGTATAATTTCTCTAAGATGATGAATGTCTCACTATTTTTTCCCTAGAGTTTAACATTTGAACAAGCATTTCACATATACACAAAGCCTCACTGACCTGAAAAAGTGTATATCTATAATACACGGCCACTTCAGTCATACAGATTGTTGAAAATATATATTTTTTTAAAAAACTAAGAATTGCTTTCTTTGACCAAAATAATCACTGTGAGCATCAGTTAGCTTTCCATCCAATTTATGGTTTTAACTTCTGAGGCACTGGATCAGAACTAGGGCACCCTGTCCTTCAGCCTGGCTTAAAAACAAACAAACAACAAACAAACAAAAAGAAAGGATGTTAATACTGCAACTTTATGGCAGATTGAGGGGAAGTCAGAGGTGCACACTTGAGGACTGCTTGCTGGAAATTGCAAATAACAGTAGTTACTTTGCCTTGTTCCTGCACAGACGTCCTTTGACCTGGGTGACCTGGGACAATATCAAGGATCTGTTTCCCAGTTGATAGAATTGTCCCTGGTCTGCATCACAGCATCCACTGGCCTGAAGAAGGTGCTGTTTCCCAGGAAAAGTAGTTAAATCCCCCCAATAAACGCAGAGGGCCCTATAGAGTTTGACGAGGAAGTATTGCTAACCAAGCGACTTAACGCTGCATACCACTCTGCCTTCTCTGGTGATATTCTTTGAGGTTTTTTTTTTTAAGCTTTTATTGAAGATAAGTTTCCGCATCTCTTTTTAGAGGTCAGATAGTGTGTGAGAAGACGTTGTTTGACTTGCTAATCTTGTGACAAACCGTTGATGCCTGGTGTGGCTTCCTGTCTTTGCCGACTGGTTAGCTGAGGGAATTTTCTCCCGGTCAGGCTGTGGAGGAGGCTCTCAAAATAAACACCATGGTTGCTTATTGGTGAGAACATATGTGAGAGGATGTCAGCTGGTAACAGCATATGGTGGCAACATGATAGCAGCATGTTACAGAGAGCTGGGTGTGGGCCCTTCCATGCCATGGGGACCATCAGAGTCCCACGCCTCAGTTAAAGAGGGTTCCGGCTGGGAGGCATTTAAGCCACACAAGTGTGAATATATGTTGCTGGGATCTTGTTAGTGGGCTGCATGTTGGCGACTGTTAAGTTACAGGGTATGGGAAAAGGCTTTCCTATCGATTTTAAAATTGAGAGAGAAAAGGGCACAAATCTAGAAAAAAAAATAATGAGAGAGGAACCCCTAAGGCTGCTGTCTTTTGTCAAAAGACATTGTCATGTCCGATCTGAATAGCGACAGTGCTACTTCTAGAAGATATGACCTCGGCGAATGAAAGGTGCATAGATTGTAAATCTGTGTAAGGTGCCAGGAGAGATGTATATTCATACCAGGCCTAGAAGGCAGTCAGAGATTCATCTGTCAAATAGGTAACTAATATCATTACATGACTTGATTTCCTTTTTTTTGTCAGCCTCTTTTAAATATATTATCTCATTTCAACCTTCTAATAACCCTCAGGGGTAGCATTTTGTCTACTTCATCTTTGTAGAAACAGAGGCCTGGGCAAATAAGGGACTTGTGCCAAGGTTCCCAAGAAACCAGTGACTGGCCAGAGGTTTCAACCTACATCTTCTCATGCAAAAGTCCTGTACAGTAAAGCCTTGGATTGCGAGTAACGTGGTGTGCGAGTGTTCCGCAAGACGAGCAAACATTTCTAATACATTTTAACGTGGTAAACGAGCGATGTTCTTGCAATACGAGTAATTTGTTTCCGGAAACGAATTATGCATCGCAAACCAAGGCATTACTATATTTATTATTGACTACTACAGACAGGATAGCCTTTGAACACTTAGCCATGTTTTCGCTCCACTTTTTGGCTTATTTTTAATCACAGTAGCATGGGCAACATACTATTATTATACTCTAGAGAACAAGAAATTCAAAATTCCAGGATGTGATAACTATCACGGAAGAGATGTTTAACCCATGCCAAGGACCCCTAGGTATTTCAACTGTAGCTAAGCAGCCCCAAACCAATGTACACTTTTATTTTTGCCTCATTCGAGAAGGAGTTTTCATGAGCGGGTGAGAAATGATGACAGGTGGTTTAAAAAAAACAAAACAAAAAAACCACTCAAATTTAAGCCAACCCAATGAAAACCAGAGTTTTATTCTTATTAGGTAGGCTGTCTTTCGTCAACGGAGGTCAAGGCCTTTCCTGTTCATCTTGAATAGAAGTCAAGCTATTTATTTGAACATTTTCGGTAGATAAATTGTACACTGTTATTTTAACACTAGAGCATGTGAAAAGGAGAGCTGAATTCGGTCAGGAGAGCCTGAGTCCTGGTGAAGGGATGCCAAAAGATCTGGGACCAGAACCCAGGCTGTCCCCTAGATTTTTTAGGGTCTGATCCCCTGGCCCTGAGTAGCAGGGACCGTATATTTCTGGGGGAATGAAAAGTCCATTCAGTGGGTCCCTCTTCTGCGATGAATCTTTGTATAGCTCTGTGCAAGGCATCTTGTCAGTCAAATAGCTAATGACTGTGCTTTTTAAAACTCCTAGCTGTCTGCCCAGTTACAACACCCTCTGGCTCAGTGGGCAGCTTGTGTTCCAGACAGTCCCAGGTGCTCTGTGGGTACCTTGGTGAGTACACACTTGTCTGCTTTCTACCTCATTTGACGTAGTGCTATCGAGTTTATCTTCAGTGTTTGTCTCCTGTGGGCAACGAACTTGTCAGAGGCCAACTAGAGTTCTGAAACGCAGCCTTGTCGCTGAACAGTCACGAAGGTGCCCCCCGCCCCCATTTTTTTTTAAGCCAGCATTTCTGTGAGAAACACTCATGAATAGCTTTGAAGTCGTATGATGACTTGATTGCAGTATATAAAAGGATGGATTGTGGGGTACGTGACATGTGTTCCAGGGGTTCCAGTACGATTGGAAACATTGACCTCCTGACCCTCCCCATGGAGGAGAATACTCCCTGGAGGGTAAAACAGTTTGGCCAGAATGTCAAGGGTCCTTTTTTTTTTTTTAGTATCTTATTTGTATCTATGTTTTTATTCCTGGCACATAGTTGCTCAATTAACGAGGAGAATTTATGTTTTTTTCTCCTTTAAAGTTCTAGAGGGAGGTCTATGGGAGAATTATACTGATGCCATGATTTGTGACCCACATGTTATCATGTCTGGATTGCATTAGAAATATGTATTGTCATGGGTCAAGACTGCAGCCAACTGGACCTGGGAGCTTGCCACTTGCTCAAGCCACATAACCCTGACCCTCAGGGCCAGTACCATGTGTCAGGCTTGGGGGGGGGGCACTGAAGCCGGTGGTCTCACTTTTCTGATTAATTTGGAACATGAATCAATTCAGCTGGTTTTTATTGAGTGCCTACTCATTGCTGGGCAGTGAGGCCACAGTGAAGAACAGGACTCAGGTGATGCTGACACTCTAGAACTCAGCGGCCCAAGTTGCACCTGGTCCAGGCTCAGGAAGAGAGGAGGTGGACCTACCTGCAGTGCTGGACTTGGTCCGCTCTGCATTTTCAAGGCCCTGAGCAGGTTTAGATTATATTGATTCTAATCAATATAATCCAAAGGGCAAAGGTCCCAGATAGGGACAAAAGAAATGTTTGTATTCCCCTAATAGGTGTCTGATTCACTGGCTCTGCAATTTACCATGCCTAAACTTGCTTCTTAGGCATCAAGGCATAAAATTCACAGTGGCCTAAGCTGGGGTTTCCTCGGGAAGAAGTGATTCTATTGAGAATCTACATTTATTTTAGTGCCGAAACCCTCAGGGTGGCTAGAAGCTGCCATGTGAATGAAAAGAACGGAAGGTTTCATCCATGCTTTTTAAGTTCTCTTTATAGTTTATATTCAGTCCCTAAATGTGTGTTTTATTTCACTGTCTTAATCAAGGAGTTAATTGTCTTATGTTCCACTCCCCCCCAACCCCCCGCTAGCTTTTCGGAAAATGCAAAGAAAGGGACTGAGAGAAGGAAAACATTTGTTGAACAACCGCTATGCTCCTGGTACTTAAGACACGTCATCTTAAACCTCTCCATGTTGGTCGGTGGGGAAGGGTGGTGATCCCCATTTTTTAGGAAACTGTGGCTTGGACAGCTAAATACCTCATCCCTGCTCTTCGTGCTAGCTGGTGGCAGAGCCAAAACCTGAATTCGGGCCTGGCCTCGATGCTCTCCACCATACCGCAGAGACCCCAAACGTTGTTTGGCCTTCCTTTTGCTCTCCCTTTGGAATCCTGTCCCCTTAGGTTTATAATTTTCTTACCTGCTACTTTGAATGAATTTCCTCTTCACCTTTTCCTCCCATAGTAAACAAATCCAGAGGCCTACCCTCGGTCTTTGTGTGGTTTTGCTTCTCAGACACGCCTTCTCACTTGGGGTTACCTTGGGTCATTTGCCTTGCTGCAAGCTTCCCTCTTTCTTTGGTGAAAAAAAAAAAAAAAAAAAAAAAAAAGACACTGGAAACCCATGCTACTCCCAGCGAGTGAGTCTGGGAAACTCAGGAGTGTCTCTGAGGGCGTGGAAGGGGGAGCTAGGCGGAAGCTGCGCAGAGATTTCCGTGGGGGGTGAGGAGGCTCTTCCACAGGCGTCCAGGCCTGTGGGGAGACCCTGCGGACCCCTCTCAGACCTTCCATGCAAGACTAGCGAGCAGCGGGGCTCCGCATTTTTTTTTGTCTCTGTTCTTAGAAATAGTAATTGAGTAAAAATGTAAGTGAGGAAGATGCCAGGCGGCAAGCGTCCAGGGTCAGGGTGAATTTCTCCATGCCGAGTGTGATTCTGAACACTCGTTCAGTGGAGGCCCGCCTGTGCCAAGCAGCTCCGGGGCCATCCCTGTCACCTTGTATGAACCGCCTCTCCACTCCAAGGAGATGCTGGGGGCGGTTGGAGGGAGCCTGGGGCCTGCGGCGCCTCTGCTTTTCTCACTGGCTCTCTAACCTGGGGGTAATTGATAAGGGGCGTGTCCTGACCGTGATGATTGGACCAGCCCTGCTGAGGCTTTTATCAGCTTTAAAATAACCCCCCTGGAGGACGCAATCACGCTTGGTCCTCACAGGCCATGTGGCTGCGAAATCATGTTTCTCTTTTAAAATTCATTATCCTCCGCCCTCCTGACACACACACACACACACACACACACACACACACACACACACACGCACGCATAATGGTTAGGATGAGCTTAGCCTGCCTGGAGGTTTTCCTAATAAGATATAAGAATCCAGCAGATAAACAGCAGAGATGGCCTGTCCATGGATTAAAAGTCAGGAAGGCGAATTTTGGGGTGTTTTGCTTTGTTCCCCCGACCCCCCAGTATTGGCTGAGTAAGAGGCTTTTAAGTAACTTGCTTAAGGTTTAAAGATGGTGCTTCTCAAAGTGTGGCCTGCATTTGTGGCCTGCATTTGTGCATCCTGAGGTGTCATCAAAAGCAGATTTCCTGGACTGTCTCACACCTGCATGGGTGGACTCTCTGGGAAAGGGGTGGGGGTGGGGCAGGGAACCTGCATATTTGCATAAGTGGCACTGCAGCTACTTCCTGTGTCGCTAGAGTTTGCTGCTGCCCCAGGCAATGGAGACTCAGCTGATGCAGGTGTGTTTTTCTCACCGTCCTCCAGCCCTGAAGGACTCAGGTCCAGCGGGGCCTCTGTTTGATCAGCTGGCTCTGCAAGCATGGGACCCACAGTGCAGCCAAGTTGTCACCCTGTACTGTGCATTTCCCCAAATCCAGTCGACTTGTCAGTCGCATACATCACACGTAGCCCTTGCTCACTGTTCACAGAGGGGACAGCGAGTGTGCAAGGAAGTAAATGCATCATATGGAGAAGGGGGTGGGCGCCTGGTTTGGAAGTTTATGCTCAGGGCTGAATTCCTCCTTTAAGTGCCTTCAATGGGGGCTATGGTGGAGTGAGAAGGGGATTTTCAAACCACATGTATCCTGTCTAAGTGACATATATTTTCTAATGTATAAGTCAGTGCAGAAAGTTTCATTCCCCGAAGTCGTGTTTGGTCAAAGCACTGCAGACCTCTCCATGGCCCGAATCCTGTTCTGGGACATTCCATGGGGTAAGGATCTAGCCAACAATGGAATGTAAACTCTCCTATCTCAGCCAAACTCCGCTATGAGTAACTGCAGCTTTCTCTTTCCAAAAAGTATTTTTTTTCTCAACCGGAGGTTTATAGTAGGTGAAAACCTGACCTAGCTATTCAAGAGAAAAGTTAATGATAAATCACGTGGTATTTTCTTGGTGCAGCCCTATACCTCCTATTATTTTGATGGCATTTTGGAACCATGCACTCTTTTTTATTATTATCATTATTATTAATTTACTTATTTATTTTTTTATTGGGGAACAGTATGTTTTCCCAGGACCCATCAGCTCCAAGTCAAGTAGTTGTCTTCAATCTAGTTATGGAGGGCGCAGCTCCATGGCCCATGCGGGGATCGAACCGGCAACCTTGGTGTTATGAGCACTGCGCTCTAACCCCCTGAGCTAACTGGCCGCCCCAAGGAACCGTTCACTCTTCTTAACCAACCATACAGTGTGGGTATTCTATGACTACTGTAGTGTTTTTGGCCATCAAACTGTTGGAGAGCTATCTGTGTCTTCTACTGTATGACTAAGTAGCCCACACGGCTATTGAAGTATGAGAAGACTGACTGGTGATATTAATTCTGCTTCCCAACAAGCCTTCAATGAAGCGATCTCGACATGAATTACAGATATAGATTTTTCAGATAGATGTCTAATGCATGCAGAGAGGTCGTCGGAAGACACAGGTAAAGAGAAGACATTCTTATGACAGATTTGTTCATTCAACAGTATTTATTGAGTGTCTGCTATGTGTCAGGTACCCATCTGGGCACTGGTGATACCATCAGTGAATAAAACGGCAAAAACCTTTGCCCTTGGAGAGCTTCCAATTCTGAGGAAGAAGCTAGACAGTTAATCAACAAGATTAAGAATGATAGAACTCCATCCAGGTTGCAGGGGGAAAACGTAGAGCAGCCCCGGGGTTGGCGGGGGGAGACGAATTGTTTTTTAAATAAACTGGCATGGAAGAGTTCATGAAGAGGGTGGCATTTAAGCAGAGACTTGAAGGAGGTCAGAGAATAGCGTGGGGCTCTCTGGGGGTAGATCATTTCTGGCAGAAGGCACAGCTGGTACTGTTCCTGACATGTTCAAGGATTATCAGCAGTGTCCTGGGAGACGAGATTAGAAAGGTTATGATGGGCAGGTCACATAAGGCCTTGTAAGCCATTGTCAAGTCTGGGGTTTTACTCTGACTAATGGGGAGAAGAAGGATAGTTTTAGCCAACGGGTTCCTGTGACTCGAGAAGGATGTACAGGGTGACCGAGGTAGGAGCAAAAACCTAAGGAGGGGGTCTTTGTAAGGCTCTTGAGTGGCACTTTGCAGCCTGTTTCCAGGTGAGACTGGACTATACCAAGAATTTCCAACAGACCTCCCTTGTCCTGAGTTCTGGCTTTAGCAAATCATTTGATAGGCAGGTGACAGGGCGTTCTATATGTAGAATATGTTGTGTTTTGTTTTGGTTTGGTTTGGCTGTCTTCAATTAATACTCGCGCGTGATTGGCAACTCACCCCCTTTCTTTCTGGA